TGCTTCAATGTTGCCAAAAAAGTATTCCCAGCTAGGGTAAGTCTGGAGGCTCTTTTTTCCTTATCAAGTTCAATAATTTGTCTTTATATGGAAAATTTTGTTGTAGGCATGCAATAAAGCCTGGCCAGGGAATCTAGGTCTTTTTAATGATCATGTTTAGATTTTTGCTCTTTTTTTATAAAAAAAAAAAATTCAAGCTAAAGCTAGATTATTCCTTGAACTGAGGAATGTGATGGAATAATATGGAACAAACTCTTTTAATGTTAAGCTATATTATTGTGTATTGCTTCCACAAGTTGCTAGAAGTGAAAAATGATGGCGATTAAATTGCAACCGTGTAGTTTCTTTTTCATGAGGTAAAAGATGCAGAAAATGCAAGGAAAGTTATAGATACTAATGGCATTAGTATCTAGGTGCCAGATGAATAGTCAAGTAGTATATAAGTGTTGAATAATCAATCTGGTTTCTTACCAAGAATGTTGATGGAGAAAAATGAACTGAAGAAAAATGGGACCAACTTTGCAATTTGATTTGACATTGTGCAATTGTTTCTTGTTTGAGGCTTGTAATGCCGCTGGCATAATATGCTCTTGATATATATTACTTTTTCAATTCTTATAATTTTTTTTTATATTGTTTATTTATTGTGAAATTTTCTTCTCATGATAGCTGGTCTGCTCTAGAATCTTTTTGATATATGTAATGAACTATTGCTCACCAGATCCAAGTTCAAATTTAGAATTTGTGCTGTTTTCCTCTGCATTTTTATTGTTTGATTGATGACAACATTTTTTCATGATCTAAGTTTACTGAACTGCAGGAATGATGGATTGCTAGCCTTTATGGAGAACTTTGTGAAGGACCACCTGTTACCAACTATGTTTGTAGACTACCGGAAAGGTGTACAACAGGCTATATCAAGCAAGTTCTACTAACCTTTGCATCAAACATTTTGTATCAATCATTAGATTAAGTATTTCTTTTGAAACTTGAGGCGAATAGCATAATTCGTTCTAATTTATTGGTAACTTGTCTATGCATTCATGGATAATTCTATTTAATTAGTAGTTACTATATTAGTTTTTTATTTGAAAAGATTACTTGTTTGTTTGGCTAGAAATTGTCTAGATTTGACACTTGGGTGCTAGTGTTGAAGAAGTCATGCTAACCTATTTTGGTTTTTGTTAAAGAGAGTATGTAATTAGGTTAAAAAGTATTAGGGTAAAATACTCCTATATAATTAATGTAATTAATGGTTATTTCCTTTTCTATCCTAGAAAACTTATATATAAATTTGTGATATTCAATAAAATGTACATTCGACCATTCTTCATATGGTATTCAACTCAAGGTTAAGAAATCCTAAACTCTTTTATAAACCCTATTCGGCATTTCTTATCGAAATAAGAAAACCCTAAAAAGGGACAGTGTTCGTTGTCAGTCACTACAACCCTAGCCACTGGCTACCACAGACCGGCCATCTCCACCACAAATTGACCATCATAGTTGGCCTTAGCCATTAGAACCTTACGGTTAGGAGTAGCCAGAAGGAGCCGCTTAGCCGCTAGCTGCCAGAACCACATGTCTGCACCTGTATAACCCCTATTCTGCCAGCCCCGCCAAAGCTGCGTGCTAGCTTCTTCTGCCGTGTGCCCAACCTCCTGGGTTGCACACTGCTAGCCGTATGGAGATCGAGGCGCAACCCATCCTATCGCGCTTGTCTTTGCCCAGCCTACTAAGACCCTCGCTGCCACCTTCTTGCTCAGCTGCTCCAGGCGATGGTTTTGTCTAGGGCACGCAGCTGCGGTATGTACTAGTAACATCCTTCCCATGATCTTTTATTGACCTTAATTGTCTAAAACTTTTAAAACATGTTGGAGCTTACATCCCAAAGTGTAGGAACAAATTCCTACATGGGAAATCATACCCAAAACAATAGCTAATTTTAGCCAATCAAGTCTGCTTACCGTTTCACCAGGATCAGGAGGCTTCAACTTTAACGTATGAGGTGAGCAAAGACTCAATGATTATGGCGTGACTTTTGAACTTTTTGTTGCCAGAGATACACAAAGCATTTATAATCTTGTATGCAGTCGAAGAAGTATAGGACACAATTAGAGAAACCTATTTTAAAGTCAAAGATGCAGCCCAAATTTACAACTTGGATGTCAAGACATGGTCCACGAATTAAGAAAATAGGTAAGCACTGAATATTCTAGCATATTGAGATGTTGGTGGCAAGAATTGGATCAGTAACGGAGTCTTACAGTGGACTGTAGTGAGGATGTAGACCGTCTCAAACAGTTTGTGGATAAAGATCGGGTCTATAAGTTTCTAATAGGACTCAACCAGGAGTTTGATAAAGTAAAGGTCCAAACCTCAGGCAAAGTATTTGGGATACACCTGGTGAATCTCTCTCCGCTATTAGTATAGATTCTAACCACAAGTTTTGGTTCTACCACAAGAAACTTGAGCATCTATCCTTTTCCATTTTAAAGGTTATGTTTCTTCCGTTATTTAAAAAATTTGATTATGAGAATTTACATGATGATGTATGTGAATTAACTAAACATTAGGCATGTACAATTTCTTATTAGCAAGAAAAGAAGTGTTATAAAATGTGGTAGAAGTGTGTACAATTAACCAAACATAATTTATCTTGACTGTGGGATTAAGTTTTATGCTGAGTCACCAAACAAAAGAATTAATCAAACATAAGCGTGTACAATTTCTCAAAAGTGGTAGAAGTGTTACCATTTGCTTACAAAAAAATTTTGTTGAACAAGACTCATTTTTCTCAACCTTATCTTCAGGGGAGTTCTTTACCTTACCATCCTTGTCACATGCTCACCACCACCACAAAAGAACCCATGGAAGCCACTAGAGAACTCACCTACTCAAAACCTGACTCTAGATTCACTTAGGTGTATACTGAGAGGAAAAATCTGCATTCTGAGCCGAAACAAGTTCAAAAATCTGACATGAATTATGAGACTGAGGTAAACCCTGAAATCATACATAGTTTGATAGTGATGTACTCATTCCAATTTGTAAAGGCACCAGGGCATGCACTAAGTGTCCCCTTGACCTTATTTCACAGTTTGTAGCATTTGGTAAATGTTTGCAGTCCTACAAATATGTTCTTACAAGTTTGAACATGGAGTGCATCTATAACACTATATTTGAAGTACTATCCTACGAGAAATAGAAAAATGCCATGAATGTTGAAATGCGGACGCTAGAAAAGAATCATATATGGGATGTAGTGGACTTGCCTAAAAAGAAGAAACTTGTGGGTTGTAAGTGGGTCTTCACAATAAAATATAAGGTAGATGAGACAAACAAGAGATATAAAGTAAGACGGGTGGCAAAAGGTCATAACTAAATCTATGAGAGAGATTATCAAAAGACATTCACACTAGTAGCGAATATGAACATAGTGCAGATCTTGCTATCTTTAGTTGCTCATCTTTATTGGTAAGTACAACAATTCGATGTGAACAATACACTCCTACATAGAGATATGCAAGAAGAAATAAATATAGAGAGATTTGACAGGAGCAGGACCACATAAAGTTGTAAGTTGAAGAAAGCGCTCCATGGACTCAAGCAATCATCTAGAATATGATTTAGTAGATTTGTAAAGGCGATGACAGACTTGGGATGCAAGCAAACTCAAGGAGACCACACTCTGTTTATCAAACATTCTAAAACAGGAGGAATTATCATTCTCCTAGTATATGTCGAGGGCATTATTGTCACAAGGGATGATGAAAAAAAGAAATTGGTATCTAGCAATGCTTGACTAGAGAATTTGAAATCAAGAAATTAATTAAGTTAAAGTACTTTTTGATAATTGAAGTCATCCACTCAAAATTAAAGATTTTCATCTCCCAGCAAAAATCCCTTTATCACCTATTAAGAGATATGAACAAAGTTACATGTAAGCCAAGTAGTACTTCTATCGATCCGATCATAAATTAGGAGTGACAGAAGAGAATACCCCAGTAGATAAAGAGATGTATTCGAGATTAATTGAGATGCTGATATAACTATCACACACAAGACCCAACATCGCCTATACAATAAGTGTAATAAGTCAGTTCATGCACAACTTTAAAGAATTATATTTATAGGTCGTTTACAGGGTGCTGCATCACTTAAAATGGTCACCTGAGAAAGGGATCATGTTCAGAAAGAATAACAGTTGTTCCTAAAAATCTATACGGATGCATACTACACAAGGTCAATGGTGGATGTAAGATCTTCGATAGCTTTCTATACCTTCTTTAAAGATAACCTGGTTAGATGAAGAAATAAGAAACAAAATGGTTGTTCAGAAAGGGATCATGTTAAGAAAGAATGACAGTTGTTCCTAAAAGTCTATACAGATTCATACTACACAAGGTCAATGGTGGACATAAGATCTTTGATGGCTTACTATACCTTCTGTAAAGATAACCTGGTTAGATGAAGAAATAAGAAACAAAATGGTTGCAAAGTCGGAGTACATCAGAATTCCAAGTAACGACTGAAAGGGTATGTGAATTATTGTAGTTCAAAAGAATTTTAGAATATTTGAAAATTGAGTGGGATAACTCAATGCACCTATACTGCGATAATAAATCATCCATAAGCATAGTCAGTGTAACATGATAGAAATAAACATATTAAAGTTGATAAACATTTTGTTAAAGAAAAACTAGATAGTGACTTAAGATGCACCCAATACATGCCAACCGCTCACAGCTTGCAAATGTGTTGACTAAAGATCTAAGTAGTGCAGCATTGAGACTATCATTGATAAGTTAGAGATAGACAATATCTATTTTTCAGTTTGAGTATGAGTGTTAAAGAGAGTATGTAATTAGCTTAAATGTATTAGAGTAAAATACACCCTATATAATTAATATTCTATTTCTTTTTTTATTTTACAAAGTTTGTATATATAGGGCTGTGATAGTTAATAAAATACATGTTCAACCATTCTTCACAATTTTTGAAACGTATGAGTTGGAGTATGATAATCATGTAAAAACTAAAGATTCTTGAAGTAACAACTATCTATTTCTAGTGTAATGAGATATTTGTGAAAACAATTATTTGATCTATATTTTTTACTACTTTTTTAAATTGATTCTATCATTTGATTTATTTTATAATTTAGAATATTCTATAGTTTTCAGGTTTCTTGGCATCTTTGGCAATATGGTCGGTGCATATCATAGTATCTCTAATGGGTTTGGAGAGTTTATTGAAGATTCTTAATTATTGAGAGTTTTTATTCTAAATTTAGATACCAGATCTTTGGTTGGCTTCTTTCTTTCTTCAGTTATTTCTGTTTTGTTTAGTTGTTTTACATCATATTTCTATGTTCTAACTATGCAGTGTAGAATTTTTTTTAAGAAATCCCTGTTCCAAGTATGTTTATGGTTGTTTGTTTGCGCTTCTGATGATCCGTTCCGAAATGCTTCAATCTTGCCCATTTTATGTGAGAGTATGGTGTTTACAAATATTCATACCAGAAATACTCTTACAGGTCCAGCTGCATTTCGGCCACGGTCACATACTATCACTACTTATACTCCATCTATTGAAAAGGGTCGACCTGTCTTACAGGGGCTTTTGGCAATTGATTTCTTAGCAAAAGAGGTAAGCACCTGATGCTTCCTAATTTAAGAGGAAGACTGTTTCCCCTCATATCCTTTCCTTTTCTTATTCTTGGAGACATTGAACTAAGTTCAGCATGACAAGAAGCGAGCGTTAAAGTTTTTACACCATTTTGCTCCGTCTTGTATCATTTAAATTTCTGTCAAACCTTACCCAGAGTGCTATGGTTGCGTTAACATACATTTATTGCTCTAGGTGCTTGGATGGGCTCAAGCTATGCCTAAATTTGCTACTGACCTTGTGAAGTATGTGCAAACATTCCTCGAGAGAACATATGAAAGATGTCGGACATCGTATATGGAGGCATGTATACTTCTCTATTTTCTTTTCTGTTTATGTAGAGTTTCATCATTACTGTCTAACTGTATTGGTTTCCTTCTCTGTTAGTCAGAGGATAAGGTATATGTTGGTTTATTTTCTCGTTGATGTATATTTCTTTTTCTTCTATAAAAGTCTACATAATTTATTGCAACATACTTCTATGTATATTTTAATATGGTCATTTGACTTGCACGATCCATCTTTGATCACGCATCATATTGAATTAGTTAAACTATACAAATCATTGAACTCAATAATAATGAGGCATGGATATTTCTCTATTTTCTTTCCCATTTACTTAAAAGCATCATAGTCATTGTGGTTTCATCATCGCTAGCTAACTGTATTGGTTTCCTTTTGTGTTCTCCATTTTGCTAGTAAGAAAACTAGATTATAATATAGTGGTTTATTTTCTGGTTGATGCATATTTCTTTTCTTTTATAAAAATGGGAACCTGCATAGTTTGGTGAACATTTGGTTAGGCTGTAACTTGTGTTATGAGTTTTAAGAGTGCTGTTAAAATAACTGCTACCTAAAAATGCTTTTAATCAAAAGTTATTTAGTGTTTGGTATAAATAGTTGTAGAAAGTGTCGTCATTAAAACAAAAAAAAACAGAAGTTTTGTGTTCGGTAAAATTTACTTTTCAAATTGAAGTGTAAATTTTTAATAAAATCCAAATCCATTTCTTAGAAGTTACACATTTGTAACTTTTGGCTTTAAACCTATCCAAAACAGGCCAGCACTTTTTATTTTACTCATTTGTTGCAGAAATGTTTTTAAATGCAAAAGCCGCTGTCAAAAGCTGCCGAACAAGGACTTATTGCAATTATGCTTTTATATACGTCAACATGGTTATTTAACTTGCATGATTCATCTTTGATCATCATCATATGGGATTAGTTAAACTGTAGAATCATTAAAAATCAATAATACATATATATATAATTTAAAATTTCAACTCCAGAAAGCCTTGAACATGATGGCATGGGGTTACCCATGGTTTCCCTTCTATTTATCATCATTGTCCTCTCTTTTCTATCATTTTCTTATTTTTATTGGTATTGTTTGTTTTCTTTAGTTTAAGTTCACAGAATGGAAAATCTACTAAGCTATGCTAGTCTTATCTGAAAATTCATTGTTTTTGTCAACACATTAACTGTTTTCCTCCTGAGTTTCATTTTATACTTTAAACACCTTTCAGTTTAAACAGGGCTTAATGGAGCCCCTTTTGGTGTGCTAACTTATTTACAATGACCAAAACATGTCTGACGACATTTGCCGGCCTTTTAAATTTTTTTAATCATTAGTGCCTTGGTAACTCTGTTCACTCGTTTTAAGTAGTTGATTATATTGTTGCTAGAATCTTATATTCATTATTCAAATTTTATTATTCGATTCAATTCGGTAACAAAATGATTTGACTTGTATGAGTGATTGATAATGAGTAATAGACAAATCATGAAAAACAATAGTAAATTGCATGATTCGTTTAATTTTTTTTGTGACTTACTCGATTTGAATTGAAAATTAATTCTGATTAAATAGTTAGATAATGTCGTTATTTACTTATGAGCTAGAATAGTTATACAATTTGCTTTGGAAGCAAGTATGTCTTTAGTTGATATATTTATTTTAAAAAAATGTTTTCAGTTGATATAATATTAGTATAACTTTCTTACATATTTTATTTCTCAATATATTTTTTCAAAAAAATTTATAAACATGAAAGTAAACATTATTAATATTGAAAAATGGATTTTCGATTCACAGTTTGGATCTTTATTAAACAACTAATGACTTGCATTTGGTGGAGACTGTTTGGAGAATAAACTCTTATTCTCTAACAAAGACTATGACAAATATGGCAACTCCATATGGTCTATAGGTGCAAGTATGAAAGGTTGTCCAGGACATTCCTGTTGGAAAAATATTATTGCCAAGATATCTTGAGAAACCATCATCTTTCACCTTAAAAAATCAAGTTATATTTACTTATCATGTTGCTAAGGATTTGATAGGATAATTTTCTGGAGGCATATGCAGTGAAACATTGGCAAACATGATCATGCCAAGGATAAAACTTCTGGAGGCATATGCAGTTAGAGATAGGGAGCTTTGGGAAAATGAAATAGTGGCATACGTGATCATGTGAACCTAGGATAGCTTTAAGGAAATAACATAGTGGTAAAAGATGAAAAGACTACTGTAAGACACAATACTAGGAATTATGCACATACATGTCTTTAACATGTATGGTGTAATGCTAGAGAATATAAAGCCTGGGTTTCTGCCACTTTTTCGAAAGAATCATCCTACAGAAGATCTGGTTCCTAGCTTGTTCCATATGTATCCTAACACTTAATATGGGTTATTTTCCTTTATGTTTATAAACTTTATTTTGTTATGTTTCACGCTGTTCTTGAGAAGCAGAGTTATATGCTCATTGGCCGACATGACATTGAGAAATTGATGCGACTTGATCCAGTGAGCGCTTGTTTACAAAGTACACTTCATCAATCAGCAGTAAGAAATAGTGGCTCTCACTCCGAAGTTGTTGATGTCGAAGCAGACTCAGTGAGTTATTCTTGAGTTTGCGGCCTATCAGCAAGTATGTATTCTCTGCATCAGATAAATGTTGGAAAGAGTTACCTTTTTGAGCCCGAAAAGGGCTATATGTGCAGACCCTTTTGAAATTGACTTGTCAGAAATACTTGTTCTGTTATTTAATGATGAATTATCTTTAATGAAGTATAATGAAATAAAGAATCTTGGTTGAGCATTTTGTTTCTTTATTTTGCACATTCTCTTGCAGGATAATTTAATTCGTGATGATAACAAACTTATTTTGCTAGCATCCCTGAGTGATTCATTGGAGTATGTGGCAGATTCAATTCAAAGGTAAGTTCTGCAGCATCAGTTTTATACTTGACTTCCTTGTCGTTTTCTCCTTGAAGGTTCACTCTTGAAAAGGTGGAAACATATATAAAGAAAACACGAGGTAGTTGTATGACCAAAAATGTGAAGCCTCCTTTTGCATATTCCCAGCATTCATATGAAAATTCAAAAAATTTATGTCCACTAGTGAGTTATATTAGGTTTAAACTTGTGGGGTTACTAAATACTTAGTGTGACTGCATTCTTATCATTTTTAATGAAAAAGTCGACACGTTCTTCCCTTTCCAAGTTGCACATATCAAACTGCCTTAAATTTGCAAGAATTCCCATCTTGCATTTAATGTGGAATCGACTCTCAACAGGTCCATGATGATAGGAGATTTATGCTTCTTAAAAATTTCCATTAGTGAAGTATTGAGATAGCTATAAACAAAAGAATGTTAATTTGATTTCAGGCTTGGACAAATTAATCTGAGAGCAGCGAATGAAGTCGAAGATGGTGGCAATCATCATCACAGGCGAACAAGCAGTGCGCCAACTAGAGATCTGGCATCATTTGCAGATGAATATAGAAAGCTGGCAACTGATTGCCTCAAGGTTTTACGTGTAGAGATGCAGTTGGAGACAATTTTTCATATGCAGGTAGTTTATTTTTACATCCTTTGGAACCTAAGAATTATTTGCAGCGGAAAATATCAACTCACTGTTGCATGATTCACAAAGGAAATGACAAATAGGGTATACTTAGAGGACCAAGATGCAGAGGAGCCAGATGACTTCATTATTTCACTCACTGCCCAGGTTAGTATCTTTATCTTAAGATTTTGTTGATGAGTATTGGTATAAATCATGTGTTCAGTCCTCCAAGAATATGTTTATCCCAGTTTTGGCCTTTCATTTAATGGGTATATGCTTATTGGCGATTGATTTTTTTGTTGGTTTATGACCAAAATTTCCATGTTGTGTGACCAAAAAGAGTGCTCAGAGAAATAACTCGGAATTTATTTTAATGTTATGCTGAGTCTCATTGAGTATATTATTGGATCCCACCTGGAGATTCAAAGGAAGGAGATGGGTGCAGGTGTGGAAATAATGGATGACATGACCTTGCTATTATTGAACTACTAATTTGCTCATGCACAGTATTCATAAGATCTATGGGAATTTTTGGTGCCTTTAAGTAGTTTCCAATGTGGAGTCTTAATTTACTTTTCATAGATGTGTTGATCTAACTGGAGGCATGGCCTGCTTTCCTCTTTCTGTGCCGTAGATAACACGTAGAGATGAGGAGATGGCACCTTTTGTTGCAGGAATTAAACGCAATTACATATTTGGTGGTATTTGTACGATTGCAGCTAATGCATCCATCAAGGTTTACTTTTTTATTTACTGTTTAGATTTTGGCTAATTATAAACGAGTTTTGTTTACTTAATGCTCTTTGTAGTTTCAATTTGCTATGTGTTAACAGTTAAAGCTCAATTCACGTCACTGCTAATGGAACATTATTGTTTTATTAGGCTTTGGCAGACATGAAATCCATCAATCTTTTTGGTGTTCAGCAGATATGTCGGAATTCAATCGCCTTGGAGCAGGTAATTTCAGTTTTTCTTATTATTATTTTCTTCTCATTTTGTGAAGGCACCGAAGCAAGTTTTTGTTTAAAAAGGCATTGGAACAAGCAGGGTACAGTGCGATCATGTTTACATTCTCTGAAAGCACTACCAAGAAGATTTCCTCCTTGCCCTCTCTTAGTTGAGATAATAATGTTTCTTTGCTCCAATTTGCTAAAAGTCTCCAGTTTGTCTTTCTCCCCTTCATTTTCAGTGGCTACTAATTTCTTCTTTTATCCGAAAAAAAAAATGAAACTACTACTAGTTTACATTACTCCTTGTTAAGCTTGTCATGTTTATTCTATATGCCTAGAAGAATTAAAGGTATCAGTGCTTTTTGTTTGAATGAGTTTGAGCTTCAAGAATTGAGAATCTCTAATGGCATATTAGCCAAGGCTCGTTACAGGCCTCACTTCTGTAATTCCTGGCCTTTGCTTGTATTTGACATTGTTTCTTAGATGGATGCAATGAACCCTATTTCTTTATGCATGCTGATCTAGGAAGCAGACACCAAAGGTTCGAGTACCTTGTTTGTTTAAATTTTGAGTCCTCAAATCACTGCACTAAACTCATGATATTACATGATGTTACAGGCCCTTGCAGCTATTCCTTCAATTGAAAGTGAAGCTGTACAGCAAAGATTAGATCGTGTTCGAACCTACTATGAACTACTAAATATGCCATTTGAGGTTGGGCATCTAAACTCATGGCTTATGTGTGAACGTTGTATTATTATCATAAAAATTGATATCAGAAATAGACCAATGTTTGTACACTTTTTGCAGGCATTGCTTGCCTTTATTACCGAGCACTCGCACTTGTTTACAACATCAGAGTTAGTCTCTTAAATCTATCAATCTATTGACCTTCTTCCAGCAAAAAAAAAAAAAAAAAAAAAAAAATTACATAAGTTGTGATTATCTACTAATTTTTTTTTTTCTTACAGGTATGCTAATCTCTTAAAAGTTAAAGTACCTGGAAGGGAGATTCCCCCTGATGCTCAAGATCGAGTATTAGATATTTTATCCCACTAGCATCATGAATGGATGATATACCGGCAAGATAAATTATTTACAGTATTTCATTCAGGATGTCATGCTTGCTTGTATAGATTCGATGGTTCATCTGTTATGGCAGTATATGGCTGGATAAAGAAGCTGTTTCTCCAAAGTTGCCGCACATTGCAGTCACTTTGTTTCAAATTTTGTCATGTATCATTGATGAGGAATGTTCTCCTGTATTTTGTTTTACTAGTTTTTATTGTGTAGCATCAATTTTGTGTGGTTGTCTGATGGTGAGGAACAGATTGTTTTGATGGTCATGTATAAAGTCTTCGCTGCGCTTGTAAATTGTTCATATTGATTCTTTTTTAAGAAAGGCGATTCCATAAGTTTGTGAAACTCTGAACTTGCATACTAATTGACATTCATGGTCCTTCCCCTCTGCCTTGATCCTCTAGCTAGTGAAGCTGTGGGCAATTCTTCTTCGACATGAGAGAAGGAAAATTTATTTATCATTTTACCATTTTTCGTATCAATTATTAGTTGTAATTCCCTTATTAGACTTGATGTGTATGTTTAATCGACAAAATTGATGGAGTTTTGAATTATTACTCTTGGCTTGCATAACTGTGATCAGGGGGCAGACACAGACCGCTTGGATTTGCATGTGTACTTGTACTGATTTGTTGTCATAGAGAAATGGAGGTTCTTTGCAACTCTTTGATCAATATGATTTGTTACAATATTTTGATGAACTCACTGATTTTAAGTACCACAGAATGCTTCAAGAACATTGTGACAGTGTAGTACTTAGTATTGCGGATGCATTCTTCAACAACAAAATGAAACATGTTAATAAATTCCGAGCCTGCATTTATTTGTGATATATCCAATAGTTTAGGAGCTACTGCCTTAAAATTTTATTTGTTAAATTCATTTAAGAATGCATACTTATTGATCGTTAAATGATAAAAACATGTCAAAAGAAATATCAACTATTTATTTCAAGTAAAATTAGAATAATTAATTTTAAATTATGCAAATTTTAATAAAATTTTATAGAAATTAAAATGTATATTATCTAAATTCCACTTAAAATTATGTAAAACATATTCTTACCATTTGAAAATGCTCCTCATCTTCTCATAATTAATCCCCCAAAAAAAAACCACAAACAAGCTCCAGGTTCCAAACATAGCCTTAAAAACCATTTGATGCGTTTCTGATTTGTACCCGTGGAAATAAATGTTACAAGAAGAAAGAAACGCAGGGGTACACAGTCAACAGTTGCAGAAGAGCCATAAATTACATACTGATGAACAACCGGAAGTATCTAATTGTTTCCTAAGTTTGGTTAGCCTTGTTGATGGTAACTAACTTCAAAATCATGAGTCAGATTTGTCTTCTTATTTCTTCTTACCAGCGGTTTTACTCCATGTGCACGCTACTGCATAATCACTAGTTTCGGCTCAGCTGTACTACTACTGCGTAATCACTAGTTTCAACTCAGCTGTACTGGTTAGACACATTTGTTTATAGCAAAACAAAAGGAGGCTGGCTCTAGTATCTGCTGCGATACAATGCTAGATATTACTTCACAGACAAAATCATCGTTCATCCTGAATTTATACATTTTACCATCATTCTGCACCGTGATGGGATTGAAATGCAGAGCTTGTTTTCAGTATTTTCTTAGCTAAGCTGCGGATATCTTCTCTACTTGACTCAATGGAGATCCGAATAAGCTCTTCAACTCCTCCAGTGGTTATGAAATCCCTGACGTTATCCTCTGCAATGCAAGATCGACTAAAATAGGTCAAGATTATCAGGATAGAACCTAAAGGCATCCTCGATAATGAAGATGGGGAAGAATATCTAATAGGATGATTGCAACAAAAATTAACCTTGACTACAAAATGAAGCAACTTTGATGAAAATCTTAATATGATATCAGATTTTTAGATGACAGAATGATGACTCAAAGGATATCGTCAATCAACGTATTAATGCCACAAAGGCATGGTTTTCAAACATGGGATCTATGGTGGCTGGCCATGTAACTTGAAGAAGGAGATTAGTTTATATAGGTTTGGAACCGACACTGCTTTTAGTTCATTTTCCATTTAATTCCTAATAAATTCCTATTTTTAATTCTTATATTCATCTTAATTGAAACACAATTTGTTGTGCTCAAGTTCCCATCACTCTTACTTTTAATTTCTTAGTGGGGGAACTTAGCACCCAACTCGAGTAAGTAAGAATTGTTCCCACAATGAAGGAACTCAGAGTAGAGAGGTGGTAACTGAAACACGCAAATTATGCATATATACAATGACTATAAAAACTAAAATTGAGAATTGAATGGGAAATTATTCAAAAGAAACCTAAGTACAGTTGTATAATTGTATTATTGTATTGACAGTAATACTCTAATATGGATGATAATCACAATCTTTAATATCGACTGAGAAGTTACCATTTTGGGCTAAATGACAAAGTGCAAGCTCAACATGGCGTCGAGCTGAAGCTGAAGTGATATTTGAGTTTGAAATTAGCCATTCAAGAGCACCATCTTCAATCAGAAGCGAACGACCCTTTCTGTGTCCTGCAGCACCTATATGTCAGCAGTTGTGAGATTAGATATTACTGCTATTTGAGCAAAAGGACGCAGACCTTGAATGATTCCTCGAGATTCACATTTTGCAAAGTTTGCCATCCCCCTGGCAACTTGTGCCATGACATCAATATTCCCACATCCAACCATTCCTACTAGGGCTCTGATACCTCCATCTTCTTTCAGCATCATGTGTAACCTTTCTGTTATGCATCCAAAAGAAAAGGGGAAAAAACTGTTAGCAGAAAATACAAGAATATCTCCTTTTACTGCATTATCTATGTTCTTCACAAAATACATCAAAATCATTCTAGCTTTCTTTTTTTGGGATAAAAGTTTATCAAGAAAGTAGTGCATCAATACCATATTGATGCTACTCAATGATATGAAATCAGAAATCGACTTCATGAACCATGCTTTAACCATTGATAAACAAGGTAACTACTCTTTCACCTTACCATTTCCACACAAATTAGCAAGGGCACCAGCTACCATTCTAAGTGTTTGTGAATCATCTGTTTTGGATGCTATCGTTGCTAGTAACCGAGCACCTCCTCTGCTCATAATTAGTCCCTGATTCATCTCTGGGAATGTTTACAAAATAAAGATGGGTTAGGATTATCTGATTTTTGAAGTGTATGCATTTCTACAATGGGCTCATGCAATGCAATTGGAATCCAATTGGTGCAATCATGCCAAATACGAAGCAAATACTGAGAAATGAAGAAGTACACAATGCAGCTTCAACTCAAACTTCAAAAAATCATTCAGAAAAGACTTGTGCACCATATCTAAAAGAAAGCAACTTTAAATGGGGGAAGTATATCAATTACATTCTAAATAGTTATCTATAACAATTTTTGATGATCTGGATATTGTAAAGAAGAGTAAGGAACTCAAGTAGCTTGTGTGCATAATTTTGGTCACAATTTCTTGTAGACATTACTTGCTTGAGCCATACTTTTATAAATGTCTCCACAGTAATGGATACTATCTCTTCATGTTTTTCACTTCACTCAAACAATATTGCCCTTTGATATCCAGTCCCTTTTATATCAAAATCAGTTTTCGTAAATTGCTTGCAGTCTATTTACTCTAGGACGTGCCAAAAGGCCAAAAATCATGAAGGTTTATTCACCAGAACTTTCTAAAGCCCAATAGTTACTGAAGCAATACAGGTGATGACCTTCTGCTAAATTCACAACACTTGAGATCCATCCCACAGCTAATACAGACAACAGATTCCAACAATTGGCTGTCAGTATTACTATATTTTCCTGTAATAACATAGTTAGAAGGGCAAGCAAGATTACCATTCATGGCCAAATTTGCAATGGCCCCAGAAGCCACTCTAAGAATAGTTGGGTGTTCTGATGCCTGCAACAGCATTAGCAATGCATCTAAGCCACCTTCCTCGACAATCTTCTCTTGATTTATATCTGAAAATACATAAATCCTTAATTCAACCATTCAAGCCTCAGAGACAAATATCTTAATACTCCAATATTGCTATCACTGCCAACAGAAACTAACAAAGATATTCTGGTTAATGGACATTTTACCAAAACTTATGGAGGTTTCTATCAATCCCCTGACAAATGGAAGGACCTTCCGAAAGCACTCCATGGAAAGGTAAAGAGCAATATATTATGATAGACACATACCAACTAATGACTATTATCCGAGATTCCCCACCAAAGTCGAGTTCTTTTAAAAAATAGGGAGATTAATGCAGGAACCTAGTAGTTTTTCTATAGGATTACTACTGAAATTTTATATTTTAGCAAGACTTTTATATCTTTTTAGCTTTTATTTCTTAGTTAGTTGGTGATCGTATTTTGTTATTGTTTTCCTATTTAATGATTCTGGTCATGTTAGACTATACAGACACCATCTGAATATATAGGTTGTGCATCATTATTAATCATGCTGCTTACGAGTAAAAATCTATTGATACAGTCATTGAATTGAGTGCCTATTAATCTTGTTATTATGGTTGCGGCAACTCTATGATTGTGGTTGTTGACAATCCATGTTGATTGCAGGTGTGATCTATCTTTCCTTTTCTTTGTTTCCTCTATCGTCCTAAATCCAATTCCACTGTGTTACATTAAGAACAACATATAAAGTGGAAATAATGAGGCCACGTAAGAACAAACACCTTCATGTAAGAGGCATGCTTGATCTAATACGATAATCCATTATCCAATACCTCATTCCAGTGAGACACAACTAATATGATAATCCCTGAGTTGGTCAGATGTTATTTTTAGCAATGTTCTCAAGTTTAGAGCACTTAATACTTTCACTATAATTTAATTGCAAGGCAGGTCAAATCTAGGACTGAATATTAAGATGTATTACTCTATTCCAAATTATGGCAAAATATCTAGAACAACAATTTGCTATTATAGAAAATACGCATGAATAAAAGAATTCATGTGCTCTGTTAGGAAAATGCTTCTGCTGCATAAAGGATGATGGTACATGTGATTCACTAATTTCTTCAGTCCCCTT